ACCCTACACCCTAAACCCTACACCCTGAACCCCAAGCCCTATTGTGAACTCTGGCCTATTGAGCTGGGGCCTGTGGGATACATTGGCGGCCAAGCTTGAACCAATGCCCAGCTCTTACTTTAATGTTTTTTTCTGGTTCTGGGTTCCTGTCACAGCTACTTATACCTAAAACGTATGGTCTATTCAAAGCAGGGCTTAGTACATGTATATATTCACGATGGTAGGAACAGAGTTTCCAGACCCGAGCAGCTCAAACCGATTTGGCACAAAACTTTATTTATCCCCGAAATAACTGAACTCCTGTCTCCATGAAGAAGCATGTTGTTCTTTTTCATGTGCATCGGGGTTTACCCCTAAACCCTAAACCCTAAACCCTAAACCCTAAACCCTAAACCCTAAACCCTAAACCCTAAACCCTAAACCCTAAACCCTAAACCCTAAACCCTAAACCCTGAACCCCTTCCTAAGCCCCGAAACCCTAAACCCAAACTTGTGATCAAAGGGCTCCCTTGGGCTTACGAAGCCTCGGGAGCCTCAAGGGGTCCCATGCGACAGGGAGTCCTTGGGGTTCATTAGGGTTTAGGGTTTAGGGTTTAGGGTTTAGGGTTTAGGGTTTAGGGTTTAGAGCGAAGGGACTGGGTAGGGAACCTTTAACCTTTTTGGTTGTATAGAACCCTACTAGATTTACAAGGTTTACCTTTTTGTACGAGGGTATTCAGCCCCTAGGGGAGTTGAGGGTTTCGGGGTTTAGGATTTCATGGCTTTAGGGTCTAAGGTTCATTGAGTTTCGGAGTTTCGGGTTTAGAGTTTAGGGTGGGTCTATAGGGTTTCAGGCTTGATAGGGTTGCGGATTTTTGGGTTTCAGGTCCATACATGGAGTCACTCCAGGGCCTCCCTAGCAGAACACTGTAGCACTCCTTTTGATGCTTAGTCCGGGGCACCCCGAACCCAGAAAATGCACAATGCACCATAACGGAGCTGTTTACCGTCTAGGGTTAATGGGAGGCTGTAGGGTTCAGGGCTTAGGGTCGGAATGCTGATTTCTGTCAAACAAGAACCTGAATAAATGCCTAAGGAGCTTGACACAACCAGTTCTGGTACGTCTTCCTTTCCTTGGCTGGTCGCGCTGCTCTCCATCTTGCTTGCAGCCTGGCTTTGTTCGTGTAGGGCTCAAGGCTTATCGGGTTTAAGGTTGTAGCTCAAATAATTCAGTGCTTGAAGGCAGCGAGTTTGCAGAAAGTCGGGTGTAGAGTTCCCTAGCCTCTAAACTGCCCAATGGACATCGGGCTAGCCCCTTATACGATCCGATGATAGGAAAGCTTGGACCCTAAACCCTAAACCCTATGGGGGGGAGGGGGTTCTACTTGTCGGAAGGGCATCATGAAGCACGATGGTGTAGAAAAGGTTGAGGGACTTCTCTGGTCCAGAGTTCCGGCTAAGGGTTTAGGGTGTTGGGCTTGGGGCTTAGGGTTTTGGGTTTAGGGTTTAGGGTTAGGGTTTAGGCTTAACCAGGGTTCGGAGTCTAGGGTTTGGAGCAAGGATCCCTTCATAGGGCCCTCGACAACCTTTTTTTGATCAGATAACTCAGCCTCAGTCCATCCCGGAAAGCTTCAGTCAGAAGCCCTTGCCTGCAAGAACGAGCGCAAACCCCTAGACCCAAAAACCTTCAACCCTAAAACCCTGAACCCTTAAACCCATGACTGTAGGGTTGAGGGTTTAGGGGTTAGGCCTTAAGGCCCAGAATTCAATGACTGAAGAAACCCACCCCCTCCACCCTTAGCCGCCACTTCCTGCAAGCTTGGCCGAGGTTCTCCTGTGTCCGTGGCTGGGTGGCTTTTCTCTTTTGTAGGCTGGGGCAAAGCCCCAGAACGTCAGTGCAGGGTTCAGAGGTTTTACGGGTTTTGGGGTTTAGGGTTTATAGGGTTTAGGGGCGCTCAAGGTGATGTATCTTCATGGGGAACGACAAGAACCTTATAAGATCCTGAAACCCTACCCTACAATGCTGATAACCATAACACTAAACCCCTAAACCCTAAACCCCAAACCCTAAACCCTATAATTAAACCCCTAGGTACAAAGGCAGGGCTTGGGGTGCTTAGGTTTGGTACACAGCCGGGCGCCCTTTCGACGAGCCAACGCCGCTCCCACCGAAAAAAAGCAGAAGCAGTAGCAGCCGTCGGAGCTACTGGGGGGTTCTTGTGTGCTTTTCAAAGTGAGGTTAGAAGTGGGGTAACTATGGTATGCTATGGTTATCGCCTTCTTTAAGGCACTTAGAACCCTACTTGTAAGTACCCACAGGTTCCTCCAAGTGAGGGCCCATGAGGGGTTTAAACCCTGAACCCGAAAGCCTCTTAGGGTCCACGTAATGCTGCGAACTGCTTCTTACATCGATGTAAAAAATAACAGCTCACAGCATTACCAAGAGAGTGGATGTAGTAGCTTTGGGGTTCCACCACAAACTGTATGGGCACATGGAGTGCTGCATGGAGCTGAATTATTGTTTGTGTTGGGAGCCATGATGTCCAACGGCTTAAGCCCAACTGGGCTCTAAGTAAGTTTGAATCAGGGAAGATGAGCCCCTTGCACTACAACCCTAAACCCTAAACCCTTAACCCTTGTACTACATTGCTTGTGGTTCAGCGTGGCAGAGCCTTCCACCCACATTCCCGTAACCCAAAACCGAGGTTCGGCTTCCAAAGGTGCTAGGGTTTAGGGTTCAGAGTCTAGAGACTCTAGGGTCTATGGTTTCGGGTTTCGGGTTTAGGGTTTATAGAAATTGTCTAGGGTTTGTGTGCGGAGTCTTGTCGGGTTTTGCCGGGTTTTGTGTTTTTTGCTTTCGCTGAAATCTTGCCAACTTCGTTTTGGGTGGTGTTGGGAGGTTTGGGGTGCCTTTTGGGCTTCCTGGTGCCTTTGGGGCCTCCTGCGGCCTTTTCGGGCTTCCGCGCTTTGCTGGGGCCTTTTGGGTTGGGGCCTTCTGGGGTCTTTTGCCGAGCCTGGGGCCTCCTGGAACCTCCTGGGACCATGCGGGGCCTTGTAGCCTTTCTTGGTCAGTTTTAACACGGGGAAGGATGAAGGATTATTGTACGAGCTGCTCGTAATGAAACGCATGCAATTTCTATTTATCCTGGCCATGAGTTTAGGGTTCACAGTTTAGAGTTTGGGGTCCAGGGGGGTTATGGTTTAGGGTTTTGGGCACTCTTCCTACTTTGCTGGGGAACCTCATGAAACCCCAAAAGGCGCTTGAACCCTGGTTTGGTCTTTTCACTTCTGGTTTTGGGCGTTTAGGGGTTAAGCTTGAGGGCATAGGGTTGAGGGATGGGCCAGCCCTTTCCAGCATGCGTGGATGCACAAGTTGTCCGACGCGCCCACATGCACAGAGTTGCTGGACAAGAGGCCACATTCACTTTTTAACCCTAAACCCCAAACCCTAAACCCTAAACCCTAAACCCTCACATTCATGCCTGCTGAAGTATTATTCTTATCCACTCTCACCGATTCTCCACCTTGTGAAGCACCCCTGAGCAAACCAAAAACTTAAGGGCCCACCAGGGTAAGCTAAATGATACATCCTCGGCATCGGCGCAAGATTCAGGGTGGGTTTAGGGCTTAGGGTTTAGGGTTTAGGGTTTAGGGTTTAGGGTTTAGGGTTTAGGGTTTAGGGTTTAGGGTTTAGGGTTTAGGGTTTAGGGTTTAGGATTCAAAAGTTTAGGGTTTAGGGTTTCAGCTTCGCATCCTGGGCAGCTGCAGAATGCTAGACAAGCTCTCACATCCTTGGACCCTCCAGCCTAAGCTAACACCAACAGTAGCCGCTTACGCTCCCCCTTAGTTGTCAATGAAATACGAAGCCATAGCCCTAAATCCCCCAAAAGGCGGAACCCCAGAGGGTTTAGGGCAGGGTTTGGGGAGATCTCAGGATTGCAGTAGCAAATTCTTCATGTGGATATACTCAAACCTAAATCCAGGCCCATGAGCTTAGCGAGCCTGAGGGCTTATGAAGGCCCACGAGCGAGGGTCTAGGGTTTAGGGTTTAGTGTCAAGGGGTTGTCCCTTAGCATGGTCCCTGAAAAGGTGAGATTTGATGGTATTGGGGACGAGGCTTTTTGTTCGGGTTTAGGGCCCAGGGTTTGACACTTAGAGTACTCTTCAGTTCTATACGGGAGGTTCTCTAAATCATGGTCCATTCTGCGAATCATGTTCATGCGGAGCCTTAAATGTAAGGTACCAAGCAAAGGTCCATGATTCAGGGAATCCCACATATGCACAAATCCTACACCAATACTCAGATATTCTTAAGTCTTAAAACCTAAACCCTACTAGAACCCTCGCGCTCCAAGTATGGAGAGGCTCACACAGGGCAGAGCTTCAACGATCTCAGGGGATTGGGGTTTACGGTTTAGGCCTTCGGGAACCCTAAACCCTAAACCCTAAACCCTAAACCCTAAACCCTAAACCCTAAACCCTAAACCCTAAACCCTAAACCCTAAACCCTAAACCCTAAACCCTAAACCCTAAACCCTAAACCCTAAACCCTAAGCACTGCGGCTTCAGAAGGTCTGTGGCTTCACATGGTTTGGAACCTTCCATATTTGGATCTTCTGGGCAGGAGATGCTACTGTGTGGTTCAGGGTTCAGGGTTCAGGGTTCAGGGTTCAGGGATTAGGGTTTAGGGTTTAGGGTTTAGGGTTTAGGATTCGTGGGGCCCCTTTCAGGTGGAAGCCAATGCCAAGAAGCTGGAGAGGCACAAGAAGAGACAGAGGACCGTGGCTTTTAACTCACAGCCCTAAGACGCAATGAGGCCATTGATGCCTTTTGATGGTTTAGGGGGCCTTCGGGTTTGGGGTGGCTCTCTAGGGGAATGTTTTAACGTTAAGACATGGCACTTGGGGGGCTAGCTGGTTGGGGGGGGCTATAAGGTTGGAGGACGCTTCTCAGGGTGCGCAGCCGCTTTGGCCTGCAGGTTCAGGAAGTTATTTGTTAGTGGGATCCCGAGGCCTAGTGCCATGGCATCGATGACCGCCGACGAGCTCCGGGCCGAGATTGAGGCCACCCGGCGTGAGGCGGAAGCCGAGGAGGCGAGACTCGAAGAACTCCGAGCCGAGACGGAACAGGCAAGAGAGCGGCGGAATCTGCGAGCAGAGCTGCACTTGGCGATGACACGGCGACTCCGAGCACAGAGGCGCAATGATCGTGAACAAGGCTTGAGACGACGCATGGACGACGGTAAGTATGATAATAAAGATGTACCTGCATATCCCAGAAAACACTCCGTGCTTCATGCAAGTGGTGGAGCAAGCACACATTGTGCGGCCACGGTCGCCAGGGGCGAGTACGTGTGGAGAATCATTGGCTGTTCCTGGATGGAAAGCATGCTGTGGCAAGAGTATCCGCATGATGACTTTGACTGTCTGTGGTCAACGCCGTTTGATCTTGGTACGGAGACATTCCATTTTGCTTACAACCCTTGGGCCGGGCGGCCATTTTCTACTTTTCTTTATAATTCTAATCGGGACGATGATGATGATGATGATGCTGATGATGATGAAGGTAATGACTTCTTTGAAGGCGATGATCACTATGGCATAGTTTCTGATGATGATTCTGATGGCAGTTCAATTGAATGTGATGAAGGTCATCCTAATCAGTCTTGTTGGGGATCAGTTGCCATTGTGCCCAGTGTGCCATCTGGGAGAAGCAATGTTCTGCTTCGGTACCGCATCTATGCCAAGGCACAGAATGGGGAGTTCATGCAGTGGGGGGAGACGAAAGATGTCATTTACAACAAAGACGCATTTAAGCCAGATCTCTACATTGGCCCGGATGTGTACTGGCGGCGGGCCAATCCGCCGGCAGTCTTGGGTATCTTCGGGCTTAGCCACCAGGAGCTGCTGCGGTCCCAGTGGGTGCAGGACGACACGCTGACCTTAAAGTTCGAGCTGGAAGTCCGTCCTCAGGGAGGAGCAGAGTCCAAGCCTTGGAGCCTTGCCACGAAGGTCCCCGCCCCGACCCTTAGCCAAGACAACCGCGCACTCTTCGAGGAAGGTACCTGCAGCGATGTGACGTTCAGGGTACAGGGCGAAGTCATCCAGGCACACTCGCAAGTTCTCTGTGCCAGGTCCGAAGTTTTCAAGAAGCAGCTGGGGGCGGGAATGCAGGAGAGCGTGTCGAAAACCATCGTAATCGAGGATTGCGATATCACCACTTTCAAAAGCTTCTTGCAGTTCCTCTACACTGACTGCTTCCCCGATCTCCAAAACTTCTCAGGGACCGCAAGCGAGCGTGAGAATGGGAGCAGCAGCCCACAGCAGTCTCTGATGCAGGCTCCTTACTTAGCCAATAGTTGAACTTTAAGCTTTTTGGGTTTCCTTATTTACTAGTAGTAGGAACAATAAAGTTACCTGTTTCTCCCCTTGGTTATTGGAGAAGTAAGGCTCTCTTGGCCGTGAGCCACAAATATCAAGTCGCTCGGCTTCACGGGTGGTGTGAGGCGAAGCTCTGCAGAGAGCTCAGCGTGTCACAGGTCTGCAGCATCCTCTGCCAAGCGTACCTCCTCCAGGCCAAGGAGCTCGAGAAGGCTTGCATCTCCTTCATCAAGGACCACACAAGTGAAGTGTTCACGCTGCCGGCCTATGCTGAGTTGGTTAAGAAGTGGCCTCAGATCGGATTAAAGGTCAGCCTCTTTTCGGCCGGCGTGTCCGAAGCAGAGGCAGCAGCAGCACTGAATGCTTTGGAGAATCCGCAGGAGCAGCACGCAGAGCGGGCCAGAAGCTCCGACACATAAACTCTTCATGCTTAGAGCGTGTACTTGCTGCATGGTCAGCACGTACACGCCTAAGCACACGCACAGCTTTGAACGTGAGCCCGGCATCAGAGCTGCGATCGAAACATGCGCCGGGCTCCACTGGTGGCTGGGGGTGGGGTGGTGGGCGTGGGGTGGGGGGGGCGGGGGGTGTGGGGGTCTAAGTTTACGATAATCTTCTTATCCACAGGTGTATCCATACTTGGGGCATAACCCTTGGAGACTTCAGTTCAATGGGTTCTGAAACACTGCATGGGTAGTTCTGTTGCATTGAGTCTCTTTTTGGGCCCCCGCACAAAATTGACCTGATTGAGGGAACGACCTACATGTTCATTCAAATCCCTGAGTTCTTTTCGCCTCAGCAGTGAGCAAGGGCGGTAGCAGATGTGGTATTGCGAGTCCGACAGCTTTCGCCTCCCTTCATGGAAGTTTTTCCTGAAGCCGTAAACCCCCACCCTAAACCCTAAACCCTAAACCCTAACCCTAAACCCTAAACTCTAAACCCTAAACCCTAAACCCTAAACTGCGAAAGTGGCCGCTTGCTGGTCCCTGCGAGGACAGGGCGGCAAGCTGCCGTCCATGAGGTGCCTCCGGCGCTCAGCCGTGGCTTTGATTGATGACATGCTTTCCTGATCCAAGCATCGGCTGAGGGAAAAAACAAGCTGACTGCGCACTAAACCCTAAACCCTAAACCCTAAACCGCCAGACCCGAAACTCCATGAGATCGCTTTGGGTTCCTGGGCCTGCTTGCACTCGACTGCTCGGTCTACACAAGGTTGGAAGCAAGTATGCAGATGCTTGAATGCTTCTCCCGAAGTTCAGAGGTTGCAGAAACTTTCGGAGTGGTAGTTTCGGGATTGGGAGGGGGGTGGGGTTAGGATTTAGGGTTTAGAGTTTAGGGTTTAGGGTTTAGGGTTCAAGGTTCCTCCTTTCTTGAATCACTGGACATTTGCCTAGGGCCTAAGCGTTGGCTCCGGGGACCCGTCGGGCGGCTTCCTAGGGTTGAGGCGGTACTTTGCCGTTAAAGCCCTAAACCCTAAACCCCAAACCGTAAACCCTAAACCCTAAACCCTGAACCTGGGTTTAGGTTGTTTCGGGCCTCTTGCTTTGGGTGTAGGAAGTTTCGGGTTCAGGGGGCTGGTGGCCTGCCGAAGTGTGGCGCGAACAAGCTGAAAGCGGGCTTATGGCTTAGGTAATTACGGGGTTTATTAGGGGACGAAGTGAATCCTAAACGGGTTTATGGTTCATGCACCTTAGTAGGAATTATAGTCGTATCGGTATATGACCCTCATTTTTAGGGTTCATTTGGTCCCAAAGGTTAGGAGGAGCTCATGCAGTAGCGTCTAGGAGTGGCTTCGGGCGATCCCGCCCCCCACCCCCCCTCCCCCCCAAGGGATGCAGCTTCACCGATCTTGGCTCAGAACTGGGCTTTATTCTTTTGGGGTTTGGGGTTTCGGGGTTTAGGTTTAGTTTTAGGGTGTTTGGGGTTTAGGTTTAGTTTTTGGGGTCAGGGTTTGGGTTTTGGTTTTTTTTTGGTTTGGGGTTTGGAGGCTCAATTCCTACGGCTCCTGAGTCTAGGGTTGAACCTCTTGAGTTACGTCAACCCTCATCCTGCAGTAGAAGTCGAATACTGGACCCTAAGCCCTAAATCGTGAAATTCCTTAACCTTACACTCCCAAGGCCCAAACCCTGAACCCTAAACCCTAAACCCCAAACCCTAAACCCTGAACCCTGAACCCTAAACCCTAAACCCTATATCCCAAACCCAAGCTGCAAAATAGCCCTTACTGCTGATGGGCCGCCCTCTTGCTTGTCGGATAAGCAACTTCCAAGCCCTGCCTCCCAGGAGCTGGGCTTGGTGTTTAGGGTTTAGGGTTTAGGGTTTCGGGTTTAGGGTTTAGGGTGTCGGATTCAGGGTACTTCTCACGTACGGTTATATGTACCCTAAGAGGCTGTAAGCAGAGTTACCCTTATAACTATGAACCTCCAAGTTGGGTTTGGTCTTAGGGACGGGTAGGCGCCCTCAACCCTACTGAAAATCGGAGCCCAAGAGATGCCCTAAGACACTCAACGCCTAACCCTATCAAGGTTTGGGCTTAGGGTTTTAGGGTTCCAGCGACCACTACGAAACCCTATACCCTAAACCCAAAACCCCAAACCCTAAACCCTAACCGATTATGTTGGGGACTCCAGCGGTGTCAGGGCCCTGGATACAGAGACTGCTTTACGTTTGGGCCTGTTTGTTTTTTTTTTTTTTTTTTTTGGGGGGGGGGCCTCTTGTTCTGCAATTCTAGGACATGAGCTACATGTAGCAGAGTCATTGCAGATAGTACATCTTTCCATTCCGTGCTGAAGAAAGCCCAAATTTTAGATCAACACCTAACCATACTGGTCCCCCGACTCCCCTGTTGGCGAGTACGAAGTCCTGAACCCAAAGCCGCGAGAAGAGCAGCCCGGTTTGTAGGGTTTTATGGCTTCCCATTTTTCAGGAGCAGTGCTTGCCGGCACGCATCCAGCAGCTTGGTGCGGAGTCTGCAGCATTTGAGGCCCCCTGTGGCCCCGGAGAAAGTCGACGCACTGCTCGGACCGAAGCTGCTTCTTGGAGAGCGCATACTCTAAGGCCCAAACCTTTAGGCTTCAAAGGAAGACAGGCGGCAATCCAGCGAAGTGCCCTAATCGCTCCTGCAGCCAACTAGGACGTGAATTGCCTAAGCAACGAACCCAATGTCAATGTCTGAGCAGCTTAACTTCCAAAGAGCTTCAGCGACTTCAGAAGCGAAGGTTCACCTGGAGAAGGAGTCCTGGGCAGGTGGCTCAAGTTCTGCAGACACTGAAGAGGAGACGTCGTGCGGATCTGGTCTGTGAGGTGCTTCGTGCCCTGGACACACGGCCGTGAAGTTGAGAAGAGCACACGGCGCTAGACTTCATCCTGTCAACATACATAACCTCAACCCTGAATCCTAAGCCCTACACCCTAAACCGCAAACGCTTAATTCGGGAACCTGCTCCCTGCACCAGCCACGAGCGTGTGAGGGTTTGGGGTTTAGGGATTGGGCTTGTTGCACGATTTGCTCCGAGGCTCAAACACCAACAATTCCACTGGGAACCTAGCAGGGCCTAGTGAGTTCGAGTCGTTTGGGGCGCTTAGGGTTCAGGGACTACAAGGCACTTATAACTCCTGGCTTCCTACTAAGAACCCTGCCAACCCTAAACCCTAAACCCTCAACCCCAAGTTCTTAAACCCAACCCCCCTTGGCTCCTCAGGAAGAGGCTGGGATGAAGATCCCTGGCCGTCTATGAGGGCTTCAAAGTTTAAGACTTTACGGGTTCAGGGTTATTTGGGGGTTTAGCCCTAAACCCTAAAGCCTAAACCCGAAAGGGCTTCGCCTGGGCTGGCTCTGAGGAGCTCAGCATTTCGGGATTCCCACTAGGGAGGCACACAAGCGTAGCTTCTTAAGAGGGGGTGGGGGATCCTACAAACCCATGAAGACCTCAACCCTAAAGCACTACACCCTAAACCCCTAAACCCCTAAAACTCTGAAACCCTAAACCCTAAACCCTAAACCCTAAACCCTAAATCGACAAAAGCCTTCCAGACAGCGAAGGATGGAGCTTCCGTACTACTCCCTGGGGATGAGCGCATGCGCAGCAGTAAGGCTTCTTGGGGTCGCACCTAAGAGAGGTTCAGGGTTTAGGGTTTGGGGTTTGGGGTTTGGGGTTTGGGGTTTGGGGTTTGGGGTTTGGGGTTTGGGGTTAAACCCCAAACTCCAAACCCTTTCCGTCTCCGTCGTCGCCACCAGTCAAGGTGGTGGCAGCAAGCCTTGGCACCAAAGCTGCCTTTGGTGTTTAGGCTTTTTGTTCGGATTAAGTGTTGAAAGTTTAGGGGCTGAGATGAAAGGTTTAGGGCTTGGGGTTTCGGGCTTCATGTTTGGGCCTCAAGGTGCAATTTGAGGTTTGAGTGCTTAAGGCTCGGGGGTTGGGACTTAAGTTTAAGGGTTTAGATTGTAAGAGCCACCCAGCTTGCTATTTGTGGGTTTGTCTAAAGCAGCTCCTACATGGACTTAGCCATAGCTTGGGTGGTGTGTTTGGGATTGGAACGTTCAGGTTCCCTGAACCCTAAGCTCCGAAAGCTCATGTTCAGGGATGCTTTGGACCCTAAACCCTAAACCCTAAACCCCAAACCCCAAACCCCAAACCCCAAACCCCAAGCCCCAAGCCCCAAACCGCACAAGACCCCAGGCACTGTTCAACTCCATTCCGGCAGCTGCCCTGAAGCCCAGCATCATCAGCTATAGCGCTGCCATCAGCTCCTGCGAGAAGGCTCGGCTGGGCTCGAGCGGGTTTGGGGCTTGGGGTTTCTTTTTTTTTTAGGTTTAGGGTTTAGGTTTAGGGTTTAGGTTTTAGGGTTTAGGGCTTAGGGTTGTTTGAGGTTGAGGGTGGAGGATTGAGAAAAAGGGTTCAGGGCTACCCAAAAAATGTGATCATAGGACACTGCCTCGGACCCCTGGCCCCTAAGGTGGTACCCTTGGATTTTGGCGGGGCCCTTTTTCAAGGTCCTCGAGGTGTTTAAGGACCGTATTAGGAGGGAACCTCTCAGGGATACGTCCCTAGGGGTGCAAGCCTTCATCCCTTGATATGAGCCGTTTTGGCACCCATATCTGTGAATGCACGAAAACATGGGGGCTTGGATCGACCCCCCAGTCGATGGGTGGCCGGGCCCCTTCGAAGAAGTAGGAGGTTTAGGCTCTACAAACCCTAAACCCTAAACCCCAAACCCCAAACCCTGAACCTCAACCCGAAACTGTCGGAGGGTCTAGGCTGGAGCTCAGGGCTTAGGTTTAGGGGCCTAGGGTTTAGGGCCTCCGCAAGGCTTAAACCCTGAACCCTAAACCCTAAACCCTAGACCCTAAACCCTAAACCCTTCGCCAGGTGGGTGCGTGGCAGCTGGCACTGCACCTCTTTCACAGCATGCTTCAGGCAGA